CCACCGCATGCGTGGTTTGTGGGGGGGGGGGGAACTGATCTTGGTCGGCTAGAGATCAGTGTTCCCTCTAAGCTGAGTTAGGTTGCGGTACCTCACAGTTTTTTGGCCCACAGCTCACAGATTTTTGTCTTCATTCAGAAAGGATGGCTCCAGAGCAGTGTTCCCTCTAAGCTGAGTTAGTGTGAACTAGCTCACAGTTTTTTAGCCTCCGGCTCACACACTTTTGTCTCAGCTCAGGAAGGAGGGCTCCAGAGCAAACTAATTTATGCAGTAGCCGAATTGCTTGCTCACAACTTTAATGCCAGTAGCTCACAAAGTAGAATTTTTGCTCACAAGACTCCACAGCTTAGAGGGAACATTGCTCCAGAGCCAAACTAATTCATGCAGTGGTCAAATCCCTCGCTGACAACTTTGATGCCAGGAACTCACAAAGTAGAACGTTTGCTCACAAGACTCCACGGCTCAGAGGGAGCATTGCTAGAGATCAACGGTAACAGTGGGAGACCTCCAGGCACCACCAGAAGGTTCACTACCACAGACCCAATCCATGTGCTGTAGGAAACGTGAGTTATTATTCAAGAAAATATACCTTCCTCCAAAGTTCGGAAAAAAAATATATTCTGTTTGAATAAAAGCTCATGTTTTGTACAGCGCTTGGATTGGGTGCTTTATAGGGAGTTATCATAGGTGCGGGTCTGTTTTGTGGTTGCATGCCACCTGGAGGTTGGTAACTCCAGAACACCCCCCGGAAGGGAGTGACAGCGGCCGAAGGAAGCCCACCTTGGTAAAGGAGCAAAACTCCCTCTAAGCTGTGTAGTCTTGTGAGCAAAAATCCTACTTTGTGAGCTCCTGGCATTAAAGTTGTGAGTGAGCGATTTGGCTCCTGCCTTAATCAGTCTGCTCTGGAGCCCTCCTTCCTGAGCAGAGACAAAAATGTGCATGCCGGAGGCTAAAAAAACTGTGAGCTCGCTCACACTCACTAAGCTTAGAGGGAACACAAGCGCTGCTCCCTCTAAGCTGTGGGGTCTTGTGAGCAAAAATCCTACTTTGTGAGCTGCTGGCGTTAAAAGTTGTGAGCAGGTGATTTGGCTGCTGCCTTAATCAGTCTGCTCTGGGGCCCTCCAAAATGTGAGAGCCAGAGGCTAAAACTGTGAGCTCGCTCACACTCACTAAGCTTAGAGGAAACACAAGCGATGCTCCCTCTAAGCTGTGGCAAAAATCCTACTTCGTGAGCTGCTGGCGTTACAAGTTGTGAGCAGGTGATTTGGCTCCTGCCTTAATCTCTCTGCTCTGTGGCCCTCATTCCTCAGCGGAGAAAATGTGAGAGCCAGAGGCTAAAAAACTGAGCTCACTCACACTCACTAAGCTTAGAGGGTACACAAGCGATGCTCCCTCTAAACTGTGGGGTCTTGTGAGCAAAAATCCTACTTCGTGAGCTGCTGGCGTTCAAAGTTGTGAGCAGGTGATTTGGCTGCTGCCTTAATCAGTCCCCTCTGGGGCCCTCCTTCCTGAGTGGAGAAAATGTGAGAGCCAGAGGCTAAAAAACTGTGAGCTCACTCACACTCACTGAGCTTAGAGGGAACACAAGCGATGCTCCCTCTAAGCTGTGGCAAAAATCCTACTTCGTGAGCTGCTGGCGTTAAAAGTTGTGAGCAGGTGATTTGGCTGCTGCCTTAATCAGTCCCCTCTGGGGCCCTCCTTCCTGAACGGAGAAAATGTGAGAGCCGGAGGCTAAAAAACTGTGAGCTCGCTCACACTCACTGAGCTTAGAGGGAACACAAGCGCTGCTCCCTCTAAGCTGTGGGGTCTTGTGAGCAAAAATCCTACTTTGTGTCCTGCTGGCGTTACAAGTTGTGAGCAGGCGATTTGGCTCCTGCCTTAATCAGTCCCCTCTGGGGCCCTCCTTCCTGAGCGGAGAAGAAAATGC